GGGCCTTTTAGCAAGTACCTAAGCTGTTAGTATGGTAAGTTACAACGTCAATCAAAATAGTGATGATAGTAGTAGTGAAAATATTTTAAATGCGGAATAAAACTGGAAAAGCTTTGATAACATCGCAAAAGCCTAGGGCTAAAATTTGTGACTTACTTATACAGCTTTGTAATTTCTAGAGAAATTAATGTCCGTTCGCAGTTCACATCACTATATTTGAGGTCTATTGGCATAGACTGAGTGTATATTTGAAGTGAAACCCGTCAACTACTGCGAAATATGCAATGGATGGACTTTAGTAGCATGTATTAATGTCGTAACTTACCATACTAACGGCCCAGGTACTAGCTAAATAGCCCAAACACGTTTTTTTGCCGGTAGTGTGCCGCTGCTTGACACAGCTCCGAGGGGTCCGGCTCATCTGTGGGTCCCCAGCATACCAGCGAAACACGTGTCTGGGTCTTTTAGCTAGTACCTAGGCTTTCGTATAAATTGGAAAACAGGCATCCCAAGAAATTTTAATTTGACGAAGAAGTTCTTTGGGATATAACGTAACTTTAATTAGTGAATTTTTGAGTCTGGTGCCCCAGCTTGTCTTCGGACTAACAGGATATGTGCAATGAACAACTAACATTTCAAACGTGCGGAGAATCAATAGTTATACGGGGCGAGACCTGATTGGTAGGTGTGGCCTCGTTCAGTCTGTGTCGTACCGATTTCCTCTCTTCCAGTGTTCTTTGAAATGTTCATAAATACCATTTGGTTGTATGTGTCGATTGATGCATGAATTGTCGGAGTACATGGTCTCAAGAAAGTCTCGGCCGTTTTTTGATGGGAAAACTCCAACGAGGCATGTTTTATCCCATGCACCTCTTTTGTACACCCTAAGGTTGGCTACCTTAATAGGGAAGAAGTCATCTACAAAATCTCATGCGGAGATTGTGATACTGTATATTGCGGCCCAAGAGGAAGATCCCTCTCAACACGCATCCACGAGCACCAATTGGCCGTGAAGGGACGTGACCATTTGTCTGAAGTGGCTACGCATTGCCCCGACACAGGACACCCCTTTGTATGGGATAAAACACGCATAGTCGGAGTTTGCCCCTCCAACAAAGGCCGAGAATATCTTGAGGCCATGCACTCCGACGACTCATGCATCAACCGACACATACAATTAAATGATATATGTGCGCTCATGGGAGAGGCGCAACACTAGTCTTCTTCCTCCTCCTCCTCCTCCTCTTCACAGGTCGCATCTGTGTCCATATCGTGAGGTAGTGGTAAAGCTTACCGATTTTGAAATATCAAGCACATGGGCATTGCTGATGGTGACTACGACAACAAGGAAGACTGGGAAAACCACTTCTGATGTATCAGCCAGCCATACCCAATCCCAGATGGTGCACCCCTCGAGGCTTGATTAGGCAATACGTCGGAGCTCCGGTGTGTACTCCGAAGCAGAACGGGAAGATTGCGTCCAAAAGTAATACTGTCTCCACGTTTCATCGGTGAATACGTGCACACCGGTCGGTAGGGGTAACGTTCTTCTGGCTGTAATAGTAGCGACTGCGCGAGATCAAACAGGAAGAAGCAAAGTCGAGATGTATGAAGCCCTAACTAACGCCTGTTTACCAAGTCAGTTGTTAAGATGCTGGCAAATAAGTTGGGTTTAAATAGGCAACGAGGAAAAAGGATTATACCCTGGATTCAAATAGAACTACATCTAAAGGTGGCAAAAAGAAAGCATTTGGATCCATTACAAACTGGGAGCAGAATATTGAAGAAGGAAAGTAGTACTTTCATAAGGATGATCTAAAAGATAGAGGGGCTAGTTGCCTGGATGATCTTGATTGCCTTAATTTGAAATATAGAGAAGGGACTAGTTTGGAGTCGTAAGTATTTATGCGTGCTCGTTTCAGAATTTGGATGAAGAAACACCGTTTTACCTAGTTCTTATGAATATCGAAATAGTACTCATTGCACTGCACGAAGTTCCTGCTTGCTTGTCATTTTGCCAGAGCAATTTGGGCACGCAAGGTCGAATAGTACCGATCTTGATTTTTGTTAGTTATTTATAAAGACGTAGGCGTCCACAAAAGTTATAAATGAATGGTCTATTTTAGGCCCAAGGGGCTCTTCTATTACTAACTTAATGCTGTGGTAAAAACAAAAACGAAGTTGGTAATCACAGCTGCGCGTGAGGAGCTGTATAACAACGAGAACGAGTAGTCTGTTATACTTATTAAGTCAGGCCCGAGTTACAACGGAGAGTCATTTAAAACAATATTCAACAATATTAGGTAAAAATGGTCAACTGAGAAAGAAGCAGTGAAAAGCATCTCCTATATGGGAAATCGGAAGCAGACTTCAACGAGTACCCAATTTCAACAATAGATAGGTGAAAACTGCCTCCTTCTTAAAGGAATTGTTGGACTGATATGTTGGAGTGAGATGGGATCTCAATTTTTATGAGAACGTAAGTGTTCCGAACGGTCGGCAATAGTAGCTTATGCAGCCCCCCTCATATATCCCTGGTCCCAGCATTTTGTCCTATGAAAACGGTGTTTATAGGGTTTTAGGGGTGGGGAATTAGGATACGCAGTGGAATATACTTCAATAACTGCTATATGCATTTTTATTTTATTGTATTTGGAAGTGTTGCTGATTTTCCTGATCTTTATTATCGTTTAACGTATTGTGGAAAAACCCGATTATCGAATTATAGGTTTATTGAACTTCCAGAAAAATAGAAATGATGGTTAGGAGGTCGTCTACTTCAAGTAACCTGAGGTCCAACTTACAGCTCTGGAGTTATAGTAGCATAGAACGCGACGCGAAGCGCCGCGCACACCTTCAACTTATATGCTGAACAACTTACTCCCGGCGGTCATGGGGAACAATTTATACTACATTTTTGCACTTTACACTTCTAAAAATTTCCTTCTTCGCCTGTCTTATTTCCCCACCCTCCAACACCCTACAACCACTGTTTTCGTAGGACGAAATGCTGGGAATAGGGGTATATGAGAGGGGCTACGTAAGCTACCTTTGCCAAAGTTCCTTGTCACGGAATATATCACATAGGAACATGGGGTGGGCAAGAGGAGCTCAATTGCTACTGGTGTCATCTCTTTTCAGTCGGGGTGTCTAGTAGGGTCCACTAAGTGTAATATAGGCCTACTACTTGCATGTGTTCAGTAGCTTGATTTTTCTCTTTTTCAATTTACTTGTCGCGCACAGTTGGTGCCGAGCCAATGGCTGCAGCAGAGTATGCCTAGGTAGAGTTGTCACCAATTAGCTATTTTTTGTTGTCAGTCGGCAGCAGCACTAATTTTTAGGTTTTTTCTGAAAAATATTGAACGACAAAAAAGGGAAAACATTTTGGTGCAGCAGAACTTATTCTACTTAACAACTATGAGTAGTCGGTTTATTTTAAAGTTTATGCTGCCCTGCCCTATTTCCTTTCTGCATTTTTTACTCCTAAAGCCGGCTATCGCTCCTACGATCGATGAGCAACTGAACGCTTGGGACCAGTGTAGTCTGGTATTTTTGATTCTTCTCTGCACAGCGATTGGTTGCATTTTTCTGGTGCACTTCCTACTTATTTGTTTCAAATGGGCAACAAAGTACACAGGTGTGCTTGACCGTGTTACTGATCCCGAGGGCGAAGCCGCGACCCAGGCTGCCATGTGGAATGAAACATGCCTGAACACTTTTACCCCCGACTATGTGTGGTATACGAACTTCAAGCCGCAGGGCTTCGAATTTGATATGGAGGTACACAGAGAATACCAGAAAATGGAGGAAATTCTCTACAAACTTTCTCATGCTTAAGGACTCAGGCGGATGCAATTAAAGCAACGCAAAGTTTCTTCACCCAAGTCTTCCCGACAGTCTTGCGTACGATGTTTCTGTCAATTTACTAAATAAATAAATAATTTTTATATTTAAAACCCGACGGACCTCATCACTACAAACTTAGTGCTGTGGTAAAAATAAATGCAATGTGGGTATTTGCTGCTTTGTGTAAGCAATCAAATAGCAGCAGAAGGGTTTAGTATGGTAAACAGATAATTTCATATCCGCCAACATATCGTCATGTTAAAATAATGGTCAACACTCTCCGATAAATATGGTGAACTAAGGAGGAAGCAGTAAAAAAAACTCCTACCATTAAAGCAGGGCAGAGTTCAGCAAACGCCCACTTTATAAAAACAAAACGTATCAGATAAAACTGCTTCTATAAAAATCAAGAGGTTGGGTGATATGAATGTTGCACTACAGTGAGACGGGATTGCGGTTGCAGATGAGAGCGGATGAGGGTTCGAAGCGCTTCTTGTCGTTGCAGAAATCCTATAGCGGTAAATGCTAGTGTTTAGTAACACCGTCCGACTGCATATAGGATCAACCATTAGGGAGATGAGACAGAGGGAGCTTATCGTGGAAAACAGGATACAAACGATGAGAGGACAGTAGAGGTCACGAGATCATCACAGAAATGCCGGAGATGCGACCTTTCAGACTGCCGAGTCCACCGACAAGCCAGCGAAAACAGCAAGACCCACCACGATCATCAACAGTGACCACAAAGACCATCGTCAGGGTTGCAAAACGGGGAAGGACTGTGAACATCTGGCAATGATGGTTGGGAAGATTAGGGGATGAAAAATGACAGCAATGATCGACTCTGTGGAGTATAATATAAACTTATATGGAAACCAATTTAGTATAGATAGAACCACCTCAGATGCAAGAAGGACCCTTTTCAAAGTCCGAAAGTTGTGTGTTTGAAAAGAAAACGGTTATTAAGGACTTAATCTCTCTCAAAGGTAAGCGTTTACGTAATTCCGCTTTGAAAATTGCTAATGCAGATAAAAACCTAATTTCAAATAAAATATTAATCCGGAGGAAGACATAGTTGCGGACAAAAAAAACGAGAATGATTAGATATGGCGCTAAAGGGTGTGAAATTATCATGGAAGAATTAAGAGGGCCAAAAGGTCGATCAGTCGGGATGAGAGCGTTAATTCGTGGTATATTAGGGCTAGAGTTAACGAGAAACAGGAAACAGAGGACGGCTTCCAGTCTAATAACCCAAAGAGATTTAATGTAAACTCAATGAAATCTCTCCGTATAAGAAAAATTTATGGAGAAAGACAAAATAGATTTCGAGTAAAAGCTCTCTGAACATTTTCAACCTTACCAAGGTCAGAAGCAATCATCACACCAAAGAGGAGGTGGCAGTATTCTACGAGGGGGAGAACAAACATGAGGCATAGCTTTAACTTTATTTCCGGAAGGAAGAAAGTATGTGATATAAAACCACATATCTGTGCAGCCTTTGCAAAAATTTGAGGCGATGATGCTAGTTTACTCGTGTAACTTAGACCTAAGTCCTTTACAGTGGATCGTTCTAAGAGTGGATTTTTTTCAAAGACTTGTGGTCCAGGAAGCTTGGCGGAACCAAAATACATGAAATTACATTTGGAATGTAAAAAGGCTGTCTGCCAGGTAGCGCTCAAACGTGAGAGTATAAGTAGGTCAGCGTCAATTTTATCAACGTAAATACTGGCCGTGTCCTTAGAGAATGAGCATGTAGACTTAAGGTCGTTTGAGTAAATGAGATTTTGTGAATAATTCAGCATTGTTAAAATTTTATTTATGCCTGATTTATTATTGTGATTTGGTGAAAATGGTTGTTCTGGAAGACGCCTTGGTGAATATGTTGCAATCTATCTTTATAACGTGAGATGCTGCAGTGCTGACGAGACTATTCAAATGAACACAAAACGGTCTGGTGGACTTCGTATAACTAATTTGACTTGCCTCCTGACTACGGGACTTAGAATACTTGACCAACTGCCGCATCACAACGTAAGCAAACATACCACATCAGACTCTCAATTGATTAAGGCAAGGGATTCTGACACAGTCGCTGTTTCGGGCAATTAAATGTCAGTTTCATTTGATAAAACCGCAGACCAACACCCGAAATCAGCTTGTAAATCGTTAGTAAATTTATAGATGAGGTCGAGCGAGTGAGCGAACGATCCAGCGAGTGCGTGAAACACATCGTAAAACTCCCAATGTTTTGCAATGAAGCTTTTTTTCCGTTCATTTGTCTTTTAGTTATCATAATACATTCGGCCATGTGTCATTCAGTATTTGTTGTGAGGGGTAATAGATCATGCCATTCAAAACCAAATTAGTGTCGCAAAAATCTGCAAACGCATTCTGACAAACTGTTACACAAAATAGTAGCAAGTAGGATTAGTGAGGCCAAACATTTTTTACAACTAGAATACTACTTCCTACTTTTCACTAGGCATACTTTTTTTCGTGCAGCACCTCTCGAATTGGATGCAGGAGTTGGTCCGCGCGCCAATTTACACGTTCTCGCCGTTGGTCCAGTGGGGGATTAGTGATGATATGAAAAGGTGTACCTCAGTGACCTCGCCAAGGGATAGCGAACACCCCCCCAACTTACGCGTGCTCGCCATTGGTCCGATGGGGGATTAGTGATATTGTTAAAAGATGCACCCTACTGACCGTCATGGGTCAGCGAACAACTTCCCAACTTACGCCTGCTCGCCGTTGGTCCAGTGGAGTTAGTGGTAATGTTAAAAAGGTTGACCTCAGTGACCTCGCCAAGGGTCAACGAACA